CTAGGCTTAAAACTTTCCCTTTTTGATAAAGCTTATAGTTAGAGTGGCTCAGGTTATCCTGAACTATCTCTATAGTTATGCTGCTATAGGCTTAGACTGCTGGAGGACATAGGGACCCTTTTTCATCATTCTGCTTTATTCTATCTCTATTCCCCCATTTTGCAGTATTTGATAGTTCAATCTCTAACGTTCTGCTCTCTCTGCTTTTCTCATAGTAGCTTTGCCTCATCTGTTTCTGTTTGGCTGTTACATCATCCTGGAGAGAAATATAAGCTGTGCTGCTGCCATCAACTTGGCCTTATATCAAATGTTAGTAAAAGGAAAACATAGTTTTTAGTGGTTGAAATTTCAGGAAAAGAAGGAAAGTGAAAAATTTCTCATTTTTATAATCCATGTAAAACATTATCAGTTGAAATGATGGAGGAGTTGTTGGGATATCTGGAGAGAAAGGTAGTTTGGTGTGGAGACTTTAATGCTAAAAGCTCTGTTTGGGAAAATGTAATGATAAAAACTGACAGGTCACAGAGCTCATGGAAATAAAAGATTTGGTATGCATCAACGATGAAGAGGCTGAAGCATTAATTCCAGAAACGGAGCAGATTCAGTAATTGATTTAACATGAGTGTCAAATTCTTTAGCAGGTTTATGTGAGTGGGATATAGATAAAAAACACAATAGTAGTGATCATCAGTTATAATAAGATTAGGGGTTAATTTAAATGTTAAGTTGTTAAAATGTTAAATCAGGCAGACTGGGAGAAACTTAAATATTTAAGTAAAAAACAAACAGAAAAAGTAGACAAAACAATGGCTGTGCTGCTGCCATCAACACCCTTGTTTATAGGTGTTGGAGATCGGCCTGTTTTCCAGTGTGGTCCTGTTTATCTGACCGAGACTGGCTGGATGTTAATCTAAATTTATGGTTGGTAATGTAATCACACAAGCAGCAGAAGAATCAATAAAGAAAGGAAAGAGATAATATGAGAAGGGATTGGTGCCATGGTGGACCCTTCCCCCCTGTAGATCTGCCCCTGGGTATCAGTACTTTGTATATTCAATTCTTTTGCAAACAAAAAAGGATTTATCTTTGGTTAAAATGTTTAAAGGGTTGGGACATACAGAAAAAGAGACTCATTTGTCTTTGCATGATCCCTAGAATGCCCTAAAGTCTGGAGTCTCATTTTGTTCTCTTCAGCTCAACAACAGAAATTCTGAAGGATTCAGAAATAAGTCAGTCAAGCAAGGTTGACTGTTTGGTGAAAATACAGAATCCAGGACTCTCTTTTGTTTTATACCTCCATGGTTATGTGATCCAACCAGATGACGTAGTTTCCCATCATATAAAATAACTGTAAATGTTGAGGTTTATAATTTTTTGTTTGATGTCAGTCCCAGACTTCTGGATTGCATAAGAACATCAAACGGTTACCTTGATGATTTCAGGAATTTTTAACAGTGCCAGTACATGTTAGACCGCTAAAGAAATAATTTTATAAGGCTTTGTGAGGAGCCAGTGTTGGTTTTAGATTATGTACTCAGACACAACGAAGATTTAAACAACAGCAAGTTTATTTCTCAAATTTATGACAAAAACAAATAGGTTCTTCAGTAGCTTCATGAAGCTGGTGAGACCACAGGCATAGTGACGGTGAGAATCTGGAACAAACAACAGAAGAAGTAAGTTTTTCCATAGACACGACTTCAGAGATAAAGCTGCCCACACAGTTTCCCATTTTTGGTGGAAAAACAACATGTCATGCAGTGAGAATTACCAGCAGTCCTCGAATTGAGGGGGGATTGGCATTCCCCTTCTCAAACT